AGTGCGGTGTGGGCGACGTACCGGGAGGCGTCGGCGCGGGCGAGCTGGGGGGCGGCGGCGGCGTGAGCGGTGGCGGCGGCGGTGTGGGGGAGGTGGAGGGAGGCGGAGGCGCGGGCGAGGTGGAGGGCGGCGGCGGCGTGAGCGGTGGCGGCGGCGGTGGGGAGAAGGTGGAGGCTGGCGGCGGTGTGGGCGAGGTGGGGGGCGGCGGGCGAAGTGGGGGGCGGCGGCGGCGTAAGCGGCGGCGGCGGCGGTGTGGTAGAGGTGGAGGGAGGCGGAGGCGTGGGCGAGGTGGAGGGCGGCGGCGACGCGAGCGGCGGCGGCGGCGGTGTGGGGGAGGTGGAGGGAGGCGGAGGCGCGGGCGAGGTGGAGGGCGGCGGCGGCGTGAGCGGTGGCGGCGGCGGTGGGGAGAAGGTGGAGGCTGGCGGCGGTGTGGGCGAGGTGGGGGGCGTTATAAGTCTCTCGTGCGCCGCGTGGCAGCCTTGCCGGCAAGTGACGACTCCTACACCGTTGCCGCCAGCCCAGATGGGAGCGCGGTGTTTGTGGCGGACGGCGGCAAACACAAGATCCGGCGAGTTGAGGTGGCGACTGGCGAGGTGGCCACGCTTGCAGGCAGCGGCAGCAGGGGCAGCACTGATGGCGTGGGCGACGCGGCACAGTTTGCCAACCCAGCTGGCATCGCCATCAGCCAAGACGGGAGCGTGCTGTTTGTGGCGGACTTCAGCAACAACAAGATCCGGCGGGTGGAGGTGGCGACTGGCGCGGTGACGACGCTCGCGGGCAGCGGCGACGAGGGCGATGCGGATGGCGTGGGCGACGCGGCACAGTTTGCCAACCCAGCTGGCATCGCCATCAGCCAAGACGGGAGCGCGCTGTTTGTGGCAGACTACAGCAACAACGCGATCCGGCGGGTGGGGGTGGCGACTGGTGCTGTGACGACGCTCGCGGACAGCGGCACCATGGGCGACGCGGATGGCGTCGGCGACGCGGCACAGTTCCACAGCCCAGCTGGCATCGCCATTAGCCCAGACGGCCGCGCGCTGTTTGTGGCGGGCTGCAGCAACCACAAGATCTGGCGGGTGGAGTTGGCGACAGGCACTGTGACGACGCTCGCGGGCAGCGGCGAGGACGGCGACGCTGATGGTGTGGGCGACGCGGCGCAGTTCGAGTGCCCAGAAGAAGTCGCCCTCAGCCCCGACGGCAGCACGCTGTCTGTCGGTTCGAGAGGCGGCCTCCGCCAGGTCTGCGTGGCTGCGCCTCCTCCGCCTCCTTCCTTTGCCCCGATCGTCGTTCCGCCTTCGACCCTTGGAGCCGACCTCGCAACGACGCGGGGCGACGCGTCCCTCCCGCAGGGCATGGTCACCTTCCTGGTCGGCGACGACGAGGAGCGCATCGAGCACGTGAGCAAAAACAACCTCTGCGCCCGGTCCCCGGTCTTTCGGACCATGTTTGGCATCGGCATGAAGGAGCGCGACGCCGCCGAGGTCACGGTGTCCCACACCGACCTCGCCAGCTTCACCGCCCTCGTCGACTACCTCCTCTCCGACAAGTTCGACCTCGGCGAGGAGGAGGGCAGGGCGCAGCGCGCGCTCGACCTGCGGGAGCTGGCGCAGATGTACCAGGTGCCGCGCCTCGAGCTGCTCTGCGCGCAGGCGCTGCAGGAGAGCGTCGCGCCGGCGACCGCCGTGCCGCTGCTCGAGGCGGCGCACACGACGGGCGACGGGCGGCTCCTCGCGCAGTGCCGCCGCTTCGTGGCCGACCACGCCGCCGAGGTGCGGGCGAGCGGCGGCGTGGAGCAGCTGCGCGACTTTGGCGTGGCCAAGGGGCTGCTCGGCGACGCGCTCGACCAGGTGGCGGAGCTCAAGGGCGCGATGCGCGCGCTCCGCGTCGCGGAGAGCTGAGAAACCGTAGCGATCAGGGTATGACATAGATCAGGCAGCACACATCCGTCACATGCAGGGATATCCCCGCACGGAGGACGGAGCCCTGCGGCGTACGGAATTGAATATGTCGTGCTGAGATGTGAAAAAAGTATCTTGTACCTTGACCTCTAAAAACACACGTAGAGCCGTAGAGTGTTACGTCACGCACACGACCACCCCGACTGGGGGCGCGCCGGCGGCGAGTGACAAGTCGTGCTCGGGGTGCTCTCAAGGCTCTCAACCGTCAGGGCGCATCACAGCCACAGGGGCGGCGACCCCCCCATCTACAGATGATATGCGCATCCTAGATGCCAAACGCCATCTAGGATGCGTTTTCCATCTAAGGACACCGGGTGTCAACTGCTGCCAGTCGGCCGTGCGGCGACATTTCGCGGGGACGGTCCTCATGATTGCGCACCGCCTCCTCACGATCCGCGACGCGACGCAGCTGCTGCTCATGTGTCGGGCGGCGCGCTCGTGCAGGCGGGCCCAGCCGAGGCGCTGCTGGCCGCGCCACCAGGGGGGGGGGCGCGGAAAAGAGGAACCTGCAACCTCTTAGCGCCATCGCCATGATGCTGCATCGCCATGATGCTGCAAGCAGCGCCGGGCGACGACGACTTACCGCCTCCCGGTCCCCCTCGGCACACCTCCGCTGCTTAATTTGACGACTCCGGACTCGAACCCGTGAAGCGTCCCCGTGCGCGGGTTACCCCGCACACGGATCAGCCTGCCAGCCGCGTATCCACGCAAGCGTTGTCCGCGTGCGTGGCATACAGGGTCTGGCGAATCGCGGCCAATCTCGGCGGCCAATCGACTCAAAGGCAACGGGTTCCCACCCCTGCCATGGAAATGAAACAGTCGCATTCTCGAGCAGCGGACGCAGCATCGAAGCCCTCTCCCGAGCCAGCAGGATGGAGGAAGGGCTGCGGCGCCCTGGGACGCCGAGTGCGCCGCCGAGTGTGCCGCTGGGCGGTGCGGACTCGGGCCAGCTGAAGTGGATCACGGGGATACGCCTGCGCGCCTCGGCCTCCATACTGCTTCTTCTCTCTCTCGGACTTCCACCTGGCGCTTTTGGATCAACCGCCGTATACTTTTACCAGGGAATGGAGCCGTCGCCATCGCCAGAGCCATCACCCGGGCCTGCAGAGGTTGGCAGTAGCTGCGAGAACGCCATGCTCTGGGATGGGGCGGGTGCCACCTTCGTCTACGTCGACTGGGAACCGGTTTGGGGGGGTCAGACCCCCCCCCCCTAGCAGCAGGGATGACTTTAGAAGGGCAGGGGGGGTACCGAGCAATGTGCGGCCGCTCTTGGGTCGATCTCGGGTTGAACTCGGGTCGATCTCGGGTCGATCTCGGCCACCGCGGTTGAGTAGCCTAGGTGAGGAGGATGAGGCGAGATGAGGCGAGGTGAGGCGAGATGAGGCGAGATGAGGCGAGATGAGGGGAAATGAGGCGAGATGAGGCGAGAAGAGGCGAGATTAGACGGTATGAGGCGAGATTTGGCGAGGTGCAGCGAGATATCGCGAGATGCAGCCAGCTCATGCCTGGGGGGAGTCAGCTTGATGCCTGGAGGGATTCGGATTGGTGCCTGGAGGGAGCCAGCTTGATGTCTGGAGGACCAGCTTGATGCCTGGGGGGAGCTAACTTGTACTTGAGTCAAGATGCCTGAGGGAGCGCCTGCCAAGCGCTCCCTCAGCGAGGCATCTCGTTGGTGCCTTGAGGAGTCAGCTTCAGACCAGTTGGTTCCTCTCGGCGACGCCCAATGCGCGCGCCGGCAGTGGGGAGTGTGCGCGCGCGTGTGTGAGGTGTGGATTGTGGCAGGCCTGCTGCTGCTAATGGGAAGTGTGCTCTGTGTGTGGCGCTGCGCTGGCGTGCGAGGCGCGCGTGCTGTGTACGTGTGCGTGTTGCGGTCGCGCGCGCGTCTGCGTGTGCTGCGCGCGCGCCGCCGGTGTGTGCTGTGTGCTGTGTACTCTGCTGTGCGCCCTGTTTGTGAGGCTTTGAGGCGCAGGCCTGGTTGGCAGGGCTGCGCGGTGGGCTGCGGCGCGCTGCGGGTGGTCGTGCGCCTGCCTGATGGTGTGCGGCGGCCGCGCAGCCCGCCCGACCGGGTCGTCGGCGGCCCAGGGCGCGAGCATGCCAATGCGCACTGCATGTGAGGCTTCTGCGCGGCTGGCGCGTATGTTTCCGTGCGATGAGGGACGCGCGTATGTGTTCACGCTGCGGGCGCGGGCGGGCGCGGAGGGCGGCGCGGTCTCACCGCGGTCCGACGCCGGTTGGTCTTCGGCGTGACGAGGGCGGGCGGCGGGCACGCAAGAGGCCTTGCCGCCATTCGCGTTGCCGCGGAGGGAAAAAAAAGTCGCTCCCGATACGGCTTTAAACAGAAAGCTTGCCAAGGAGACATTTTGGTACAGCTAGCGCGCGAGAGAGGGGTGTCGCCCCTCCTTTCCCTCTCGCCCGCCCTTCCCCTCACACTCAGCTCCACACTCAGCGGCCGCTCACCCTTGCCGCCTCGCGACTCACCCACCGCCTCTAGCTCGACGTCAGTAGCTCTGCAGCCGCGGCTGGAACTTGGCCGCCCTCGGCACTGCCGCCCCCCGCCGCCTCGCCCGCCGCCTCGCCCGCCACCCCCGCGGGAGCGGAGCCGGGCAGGACGAGCCCGAGCGCGGCGCACTCCGCCGCGAAGCCGCCTGCGGGGGCGGTCTTCGAGCTGAAGACGAGGCCCCTCCAGCCGAGGCTCCGCGCGGCCTCCACGTTCGCAGGCTTGTCGTCGACAAAGAGCAGCTCGGCGGGCGCCACCCCCGGCTCGAGCCTGCGCAGCCGCTCGAAGAAGAGGGCGAAGATGGCGGGGTCGGGCTTGCCTGCTCACGGATGCACGCGTGAGCGGCCCGCGCGCGCGGGGGGGGCGGGGGGTGGGGGTGCTGTGCACTGGCGGGGGGCAACGGCGGGGGAGCGATGGCGGGGCGGGAGAGGGGGGGGAGGGGCGCGGGGCGTGCCGACGCCCACGGCCTGGCTCACGAGGAGCAAACTCGGGTGCGAGACGAGCGCGTGCAGCCCCGCGCCTACGGGGCGTGCGCACATGGGCAACCCCTGTCATGGGCGCGCCACAGAGGGGGCGAGACGCAGCGAGGCGCAGCCGCGCGCCCTCGGCGCAGTACCCAAACAGGCCGGGCGTCACCAGGTGGTTGGAGATGACGCCCACAACCATGCCGCGCTCCTCCTTGAGCCGCCGCGCCACGGCGGCGGTCTCGGCGTAGCAGCGGCGCAGCGCCGGAGCAAGGGCGGCCTCGCAAGCCGCCGCTCGCTCGGGTGTGCGCTCGGCCTCTGCGACGCCAGCCACCTGAGGGGGCATGCCCCGGACATGTGCATGTGCATGTGCATGTGCATGTTGTGGACGTGTGCCGGACGGGTGCAGCGTGGAGAGGGCGGAAGAGACAGAGTGCACCTCCATCGCGGTGTGCCAATAGCCAGCCTACAGTGTGAGAGACGCCAGCCTCGGGGCGGGAGGCGGTCTCGTGCGGAGTCTTCAGAGCACCGCGTGAGCACGAGGGGACACGGGCACAGTGATTACAGCCGAGTACGGCCGAGTGCGGCGGAGTGCGTGTCCTCTCGAGCGCTACTTGGAGTACATGAATGCGTCGTCCGCCTCTAGGGCCAGCCTCATAGGGGGAGATCTGGGCAGATCTGGGGAGATCTGGGGAGATCTGCGGCAACCAGTCCAGCAGGGGCCCATCTCTCCCCATCTCTCCCCATCTCTCCCCAGATCTCCTCTAGAGCCAGCCTCGTGCGGGCTGGCGCGCGAGCGCGCCCACGCAGCCTTGTGCCCGGCCCGCGCCATGGCCGGAGGCACGCCCATCGCCGCGGCCACGCTCTCGTTGCCCGCCTCGCAATCCGGGTTCGTGATGCCGCCGCAGTCCAGCACCAGCACCCGAGGAGGCTCCGCCGCTGCCGGCTCCTCCGCCGCTGCCGGCTCCTCCGCCGCTGCCGGCTCCTCCGCCGCTGCCGGCTCCTCCGCCGCTGCCGGCTCCTCCGCCGCTGCCGGCTCCTCCGCCGCTGCCGGCTCCTCCGCCGCTGCCGGCTCCTCCGCCGCTGCCGGCTCCTCCGCCGCTGCCGGCTCCTCCGCCGCTGCCGGCTCCTCCGCCGCTGCCGGACCGTGCGCGGTCGCCTCCTCTGCCGCCGCAGCGTCACCTGCCGTTGCTTTGGGCGCCTCCTCCGCTGCCGCAACCAGCGCCGCCGGCTCGTCCACCCCCCTCTCCCCCGCCCCCCCCTCCGCCGCCCCCCCCTCCTCCGCCGCCTCCGCCGCCTCTTCCGTACCCGCCACCTCCGTTGCCTCCGCCTCCGCCGCCTGCGACCCCGCCCCCACCGCAAACTCCTCCACCGCCGGCGGAACCGGCGGCGCCGGAAGCGCCGCTGCCGCCCCCCTCGGTGCAGGCTCCATCGCCGTCGCCACCGCCGCCGCTATCGCCTCCGCCATCGCCTCTTCCGCCGCCCGCACCTCTGCCTCTGAGGCCTCCCCCTCCTCTGCCTCCGCGTCCGCGCCGGCAGCCGCCGCAGCGTCCTCCTCCGCACCCGCCGCACTCCCCTCCTCCGCACCCGCGTCCGCCGCAACAGCCTGCGCTCCACGCGCGCGCGACTCCTCCCTCACCAGCTCCCCCTTGGCCCACCAGCCCGTCACGTGCTCGCCGCCCGCGCCTGTGGTGGCGTGGCGCGAGCTCGGCGAGCTCTCGGCTCGATCGCGGCTCGATCTCGGCTCCATCTCGGTAGACCTCGGCTAGACCCCGGCTAGACCTCGGCTAGACCCCGGCTAGACCTCGGCTAGACCTCGGCTAGACCTCGGCTAGACCTCGGCTAGACCTCGGCTGAATCTCGGCGACATCGCCTTTCATGCGCCCGGCCACACCTCCATCTCGGCTGTCTCTCGGCTGCATCTCGCACCCGAGAGGGTCCCCGCGCCGTGCCGCTCCCCCTCCAGCCACTCGCCTGTTCACAGCTCGAGGTGTGAAGAGACGCCGTTCACAGCCGTGCCGCTCCCCCTCCAGCCACTCGCCTGTTCACAGCTCGAGGTGTGAAGAGACGCCGTTCACAGCCGTGCCGCTCCCCCCCTCCAGCCACTCGCCTGTTCACAGCTCGAGGTGTGAAGAGACGCCGTTCACAGCCGTGCCGCTCCCCCCCCTCCAGCCACTCGCCTGTTCACAGCTCGAGGTGTGAAGACACGCCGTTCACAGCCGTGCCGCTCCCCCTCCAGCCACTCGCCTGTTCACAGCTCGAGGTGTGAAGAGACGCCGTTCACAGCCGTGCCGCTCCCCCCTCCAGCCACTCGCCCGCGTACGACGAGCCGTCGGGCCACACGCACCGCCCGACGCCGCACCGCCGCCCGTCGGCCCACTCGCCCTCGTACCGCTCTCGTCCCGCACTCACCCACACGCCAAACCCACTCGGCGCCCCGCGCGCCCACGAGCCGTCGTAGACGCCCCACGCGCGCCGCGCCGGCTTCGGCGAGTCCGGCGGCTGCGGGGAAGGCGCCCTCGGGCTGGGAGCCCTCGGGCTGGGCGGCGGCCTTGCCCCGTGCGGCGACGAACCAGTCTCTTGCGCCGGCTCTTGCGCCGGCTCGGCCGCCGCCGACGTCGACCACGCTGCCGCAATCTCGTGGCGCGGAGATCCAATCTCGCGCGGCGGAGATCCGTGCGCCGGCGTGGGCGAGACCGCGCCCGCGCCCGCGCCGCTCGACGCGGCGTCGACGGCGCCGCTGCAGCCGCCGCCGCCGTCGCTGCCGCCGCCGCCGCCGCCGCTGCCGCCGCTGCCGCCGCCGCCTCTGCCGCTGCCACCGCTGCCGCCGCCGCTGCCACCGCTGCCGCCGCTGCCGCCGCCGGCCTGCTCGGCAAGAGGGAGCCACAGGCATCGCCCCTCGCCCTCGCGACAGCCGGCCACCCACTCGCCGGCGTACTCCTCGCGCGCGCTGGCCAGCGCCTCGCGCCCGAACCCGCTCCGCTCCCCGCCCGCCCACCCGCCCACGTACAGCCCCTCCGGCCCGCCGCCGCCCGCCGGCCCGCCGCCGCCCGCCGGCCCTCGCCGCAGCTCCGCCCCGTCGCCCCAGCGGACGCCGTGCCGCCACTCCCCGAGGTAGACTGCGAGCCCGTCCGGCGACCAGAGCGCGCCCCACCCGTGCCGCAAGCCTGCAGGGGGGGGAGTCGCCAGCCTCGGGGGAGTGCGGTCTCGTGCGGAGTCTTCAGAGCAGCGCGTGAGAGCACGAGACGAGTGCGAGTACAGTGTGGAGGCACCAACAACGTCCGAAGACGGTACCGTGGAGAGGGGGGCGCCGTGTGAACACGTGGGGGGTGGGAGGACAGTGAGTACAGCGGAATGCGGTCGAGTACGGCGGAGTGCGTGTCTTCTCGAGCGCTAGTTGGACTGCCACATGCGCATGCGTACGAGGACATCTGCTCTCAGCTTCTAGGGAGGCGAGCCCACCTCTCCCCATATCTCCCGCATATCTGCCCGGATCTCCCCCATATCTCCCTCAGATCTCCCCCACATCTCCCCAGATCTCCGCTTCTAGGCGTACGCGCCGCCCACGTGTCGGTCCCATATCTCCCCATATCTCCCCCATATCTCCCCAGATCTCAGCTTCTAGGGCCGCAAACCGCGCGCCAGCGCCCCCTCGTACGCCCCCTCCTCCTCGGAAAAGCCCGCTCCGGCCGGCACCGCCGGCGGCGCGCCGCCCTCGCCCTCCTCCTCGCCCTCCTCCTCGCCCTCCTCCGCCCCCTCGCCGAGCCCGCCCTGCTCGGGGGAGGCAGCGTCCGTGCGGGTCTCGAGCCAGCTGTCGAGCGCCGCGCCTGGGGGAGATGCGGGGAGATGCGGGGGAGGTGCGCGGAGATGTGGGCAGCCAGCTGTCGAGCGCCGCGCCCGCCCTCGCGCTGGCCGCGGCCGCTGTGGCGGCGGCAGTGCCGCGCCCCTCGGCAGGGCCGATCGCGGCGCGGAACCAGCGCGAGAGACGGCCGGCGCGCCTAATTAATGTTAATTAATGTGCGTGTGCGTGTGTGTGTGCGTGCGTGCGTGCGTGCGTGCGTGCGTGCGTGCGTGCGTGCGTGCGTGCGTGCGTGCGTGCGTGCGTGTGTGTGTGTGTGTGTGTGTGTGTGTGTGTGTGGGTGCGTGCGTGCGTGCGTGCGTGCGTGTGTGTGTGTGTGTGTGGGTGCGTGCGTGCGTGCGATATGGCTGCGCCGGCTTGTTTGATTGCGTGAGTGTGTGTGAGTCTGTGCTCTCACGTCGCCGGCTCCGCTGACGGCGGCGCGGACCCGCGCGACGGGCGCCGCGCCGCGGTAGCCTCGAGGCGCGCGCGCCAGAGGCGAGCCTACGTAGCGAGGACGCATACCTCGGGGCGGGATCACGGTCTGTGGCACGAGTCTTCGGAGCACCGCGTGGGTACGAGGGGAGGCGGAGACAGTGAACACAGCCGAGTACGGCCGAGTACGGCGGAGTGCGTGTCCTCTCGAGCGCTAGCTGGGGTACATGAATACGTGGCGAGCCCATATCTCCCCCACATCTCCCCCATATCTCCCCCACATCTCCCCCATATCTCCCCCATATCTGCCCAGATCTCCGCTTCTAGGGAGGCGAGCCCATATCTCCCCCACATCTCCCCCATATCTGCCCAGAGCTCCGCTTCTAGGGAGGCGAGCCCATATCTCCCCGATATCTCCCCCATATCTGCCCAGAGCTCCGCTTCTAGGGAGGCGAGCCCATATCTCCCCCACATCTCCCCCATATCTCCCCAGATCTCCGCTTCTAGGGAGGCGAGCCCATATCTCCCCCATATCCCCCCCACATCTCCCACATCTCCCCCATATCTGCCCAGATCTCCGCTTCTAGGGAGGCGAGCCGCCGCGTGCACGCCCGCGCCGCTCGCCCAGCGGCCAAAGTTGGCCGTCTCTGCCCAGCCGCGCACCTGCGGGAGAGACGGAGACGCTGCGTCCGGAGGTCTCCTTTGGGTCCGGCCGTCTCTGCCCAGCCGCGCGCGCCCACTCGGCGCCATACTCCGCCGAGAGCGACGCCGCGCTGCCCGACAGCACGGCGCGCGCCGCGGCCTCGCCCAGCGCGGCGAAGTGGGAGAGCAGCTGCGCGCGCACCCAGCCGCCGGAGCCCTCCCACGCCACCTGCTGCGGGGCGAGAGCGGTCCCGGTGCGGCGCTGAGCTCCTCCCGACCTTGAGCTTTGCCAGTGGGGGAATGGGGGAGCGGGGTGGGCGGCCTCGTCGGCGGCGGCGGCGGAGGCGGCGCAGGCCGCGTCGAGCCGCTGCACGAGACTGAGCTCGAGCGGGCACAGCTGCGCCGCTCGCCTGTCCACAGCTGCAGGTGTGAAGAGACGCCGTCCACAGGTACGGCGACAGCCACGAGCTGCGCCGCTCGCCGCAGCGCCGCGTCGGGCAGCAGCAGCTTCCCGCCGCGCCGGTGCCCGCCGCCGGGCCGCCTAGGGTTAGGGCGAGGGCGAGGGCTAGGGCTAGGGCGAGGGCTCGGGCTAGGGATATGGCTAGGGCCAGGGCTAGGGCTAGGGCTAGGGATGTGGCTAGGGCTAGGGCTGTGGACATGCTGGGGCGAGGGCGAGGGCGAGGGCGAGGGCGAGGGCTAGGGCTAGGAACTGCCCTCCCCGCGGCAGCTCGAGGACGGCCTGTGCGAGCGGCGCGAGGCGGCAGCCGGTGGAGGCGTCGCGCACCGCCGCCAGCCAGCCCGCAACCTCAGCAAGTTCAGACAGCCAGTCAGCCAGTCAGTCAGTGTTGCAGCGACGGGCACACGCGGCGTACAAGAGTCACTACACCAGGCGTCCAATGGGGAGAGTCGTCACACAAGTCAGGGGGGCAGCCAGAGGGGAGTCCTCGCAAGACAAGAGAGGGGCGGTCAGAGGAGAGTCGTCACACTAGTCAGGGGGGCAGCTAGAGGGAGGCAGCCAGAGGGGAGTCCTCGCAAGACAAGAGAGGGGCAGTCAGAGGAGAGTCGTCACACTAGTCAGGGGGGCAGCTAGAGGGAGGCAGCCAGAGGGGAGTCCTCGCAAGACAAGAGAGGGGCAGTCAGAGGAGAGTCGTCACACTAGTCAGGGGGGCAGCCAGAGGGAGGCAGCCAGAGGGGAGTCCTCGCAAGACAAGAGAGGGGCAGTCAGAGGAGAGTCGTCACACTAGTCAGGGGGGCAGCTAGAGGGAGGCAGCCAGAGGGGAGTCCTCGCAAGACAAGAGAGGGGCAGTCAGAAGAGAGTCGTCACACTGGTCAGGGGGGCAGCTAGAGGGAGGCAGCTAGAGGGGAGTCCTCGCAAGACAAGAGAGGGGCAGTCAGAGGAGAGTCGTCACACTGGTCAGGGGGGCAGCTAGAGGGAGGCAGCCAGAGGGGAGTCCTCGCAAGACAAGAGAGGGGCAGTCAGAGGAGAGTCGTCACACTGGTCAGAGGGGCAGCTAGAGGGAGGCAGCCAGAGGGGGGCAGCTAGCGGGGGAGTCGTCATCCCGCCACCTCGCTGTCTGCTATAGCCGCAAGACCGAGGCCCTCGGTGTTCACAGCGGAGTGGCTGGGGCTATACCAGACAGGCCACCTCGCGCAGTCGAAACGCATCCCACTCGGAGACGAGGGGCAGCAGCCTAAGCGTTGGGGGGGTGGGTGGTGGGTGGGGGGGGGTGGGGGGGGGGTGGGGGGGGGGGGCAGCCTGCGGCGTGGAGGCTGGGATACGAGTCCAGTGAATACAGCGGCGTTGCCGTGTGTCGATCTCTGCTTGACCGTTCTCGACGGAGTGTGTGAGTGGCCTCGGGCGCGGGCTGGTGTGTATGTCTGCGCTGGAGTAGGCCGCCGAGTCTAGATGGTGAGGTAAACACACAAAGGGCCGCGATCGCATTCGCCATCCTGAGACCCGGTGTTGTCTACTGACTGCCGCCGCTGCCTGTCGGCTCTCGACTGCGCGTGCGTGTGACCGTTGGCCCGGGGGCTGTGCCGCTTGTGCGTGGATGCACCAGCGCCCGCCTCGGGGGAGTACGGTCTCGTGCGGAGTCCTCAGAGCAGCGCGTGAGTACGACGGCTACGACTCCAGCGAATGCAGCCGAGTGCAGCCGAATACGGCGGAGTGCGTGTTCCTCCCGAGCGCTAGTCGGAGCACACGAGCCCGTCTTCCGCTTCTAGGGAGAGCAGCTCGCAGCGCGGCCCGAAGGGCGTCGGAGCGCCGCCGCCCGTGGACGCGGCCGCAAGCGCCGAGGGGGGAGGGAGGGGCAGCAGCCCGTCCGGCAAGAGCGAGGCGAGGCAGAGCGCTGCGGAGCTCGGCTCGAGCGCCGGAGGCGAAGAGGCGACGTCCGCACCGCCGCCGCCGCCGCCGCCGCCGCTGTCGCGGCGGCGGGGCGTGAGCGGCGCTGGCCTCAGCAGCATCCTCGCCTCGAGGAGGAGGATCTTGAGCGCGCGCAGCACCGGCTCGGCGCCTGTGTCGCAGCTGCAGGCGTGAGGAGACGCCGTCCACGGCCGCTCGAGCGCGCGCCGCGCCGGCTCGGCGCCGACACTCCGCACGAGCGCCGCAGCGTCGAGAGGTGCGCCCACGTGAAGCACCTCGGGCTCGCCTGACGTGTCCGGGACGCGTCCACGGCCCTGCCCGGGGCATGCCCCCCGACCTGCAAGGACGCCCTCGGGCGCGCCCAAGTGGCACGGCGCGCGGAGGCAGCGCTCCAGCCGCGACAAGTCGCCGGGCAGAGGGTGAGGCGACACCTCGCCCGACACCCCGCCCCAGTCGTCGGTTGCCTTGAGCGCGACGCCTGTACGGCACTGTGCGAGAGGTCAGCACACCTCACCACTGCCACAGCGCACACGAGCACTCTGCTTTGCGTCGAGGAGCGCCTGGGTTGTACTGCACTCGGTGACCACTCTGTCACTCTCATACTCCAAGCTCTTCGACGCGTGGAAGAGCGCCTGCGCTGGCGAGCGTCGCGCGGACCTGCAGCCAGCCAGTCACGGGACAGTGTGACTCACCCGTCCTAGCACGACGGGGCACACGCACTCGCGGAGCACACACGGGGGCATTGCACACGAGGGCGGTGTGCGCGTTCTCAGGCGAAAGGCGCGGAATATGTGAATATATTTATCTGCACGTTATGACCTGCTCCTCGCACCATCCCTCGCAGTAGCCGCGCAGCCGCTCGAGCATCAGCGCGTGCACCTTATGTTTGGTTACCCCCGAGTGAACGAGTAGCCAGTGGCCGCGGACGAGCATGAGCGCGTGCACCGGCAGCTCGCTCAGTACAAACACGGCCAACGGCGGCGCGGAGCCCGACGGCGCTCCAATCCTGCAAGCGACGCCGTGCAGAGGCGCCTCTCGCGCCGGCGCGCAGCCGGAAGGCAGAGTCAGGAAGCTATGGCCCATCACGCGGAGCACTCCGCCGCCGCGACAGCCGCCGCCGCCACAGCCGCCGCCGCTGCCGACGCCGCTAATGCCGACGCCGCCGCTGGCGCCGCCGCCGGAACTCGGCCGCGCTGCGTCAGAGAGTGTGGCGATTGCGCCGGGCGAGAAGGAGTCGGCTGCGCCTGGCGGGTGGGTGAGGAGGAGAACAAAGCCGCTCTGCTGCGGCAGCGCGAATGGGCTCGTCGTCTCCTCGCCGTCGGCTGCCAGCAGAGCGGCGTCCGCAATCACGCCGAGCGCGGCGGTGGACAGACTGCTGAGTGCGGGACCGTTCGGCCGGCTCGGTGCTGGCTCGGGCGAGTCGAGCTCCGGGTCGTAACGCGGTCGACGAGCTCGAGCAGTGAGCGACGCATCGTGCTCCCGCCTCCGCAGATCATCCTTGAGAGTCTCATACGCCTCCTGCACCGCCAGGAATGCAGCGGACGACCCGCGTGACGGTGCAGCCGTGCGGTCGGGGTGCAGGAGCAGGCACTTGTCGCGGTATGCAATGCGGATCTCTTTGGCCGTTGCGCCCCGAGGAACGCCGAGGGTGGCGTAGGCTGAATGGGATGGCATGCGGCACCGACAGGGCTCCCCCGAATGGGTAGAGCTCTACCCCCGGGCCGGGGGACCCTCCCCAAAATACGCCGACAAAGAGAAAGTGATCTGTGATCTGTAAGGGTCCGCCCGCAGGCGCCTTTTGTATACCGAGGCGGTGCCCGGTGCCGAACCTGTCGGACCTTAAGACAGCATTGTAGATCCCTGGGCGAGGGTGGTGGAGAGGGCGGTCCGTCGGCGCCAAACCACATGCGGGCAGGTTCCACGCGTTCCCGGACTGCCCCATTGGAGGTAGGCCGCTCGTCTAGCCAATCAGCCTTAAGCGAGCGGCCTGGCCGTTGGAATGGCCGAGTTTGGTGTGGACTTGCGCCCTCGCATCGTTCGTGGTTACAAGCAGCGTTATGAATGAACACGTTATCATCCACGACACGTTCGTCTGGAGGGGGGAGGTCTGTGACCTACCTAGTTGTCCGGCATGCGAGGGCATGCTCGGCCGTTCGGAGTCCCCCCTTTTCATGTCACCATTCTTTCGGTTAGCGTCTGAACTTGACGGGTGGCTTCCGCGGGCGATAGAGAGAAAGTAGCAAGCTCCAAGCAACGCCTCACTGACACAGTGAACACCATATTTCAGAAAGAAGAATTCGCGGGCCGCGACTGCGCGCACTGGCACTAACACAGGTATACACAGAAAGAAGAATTTTGAAACAAGAACTCTGAATATCGGCACTCTACGGGAGGCCGCCGCCGACCCCGGAAAGAGAGAGGAGGGTGATCCAGGAGCGCGCGAGCATGCTTGGAAGGATGGCCAGCGAGAGATTCTTTAAACAAAACATATGTAGGCATACAACATAACAAGAGGTTAAGCAAGCAGCTACGCTCCAAAGAATGACGCTCGAGGGCAATCGTGGAGTCGCGGGTCGACCGACCCGAGTCGCCGGAATCCCGAGGAGTGCCCTGCTCATTCCCTGCGGAGCTCCTGCGCCCACGCCTCGACCTTCTTGGGAAGCAGCTGGTTCGACAGGTCCTCTCCGTGGCCTAGGCAACCGTCCTCGCCCCCGCCCCAGGCAAAGACCGCACCGTCTGCGGTGACGGCGAGGCTGTGCGCAAGCCCAGCAGACACGGCGACGACGTGCTGGCCAGCCAAGAATTCGACCTTCTTGGGAAGCAGCTCTGGCTGGTCCTCGCGACGCGCATCCCCCCCCCCCCCCCCCCACACACACACAAACCCCATCGCCCGAGCCGCCTCTGCTCAAACCTCGCCCGCCACCTCCGTGGCAGAGGCGTCGCCACCCGCCGCCAGCAGCAGCTCCTTGCTCGGGTGCGCCTCCTCCTCGGCCTCAAAGCGGGAGAAGAGGAACCGCGTCTCGTATGGCGAGCTCACCTTGTACATCGCCGCGCTGCCTATGCCATGTCCATGTACGCAAGGGGTGGGTGCGCTACGGGCAGGAGCTCGCTTCATCCTATGCATGCGGCACCCTCGATCGCGCCCTCGGCCATCGCGCTGGTCTACAGCGTGGACGACTACGTGTTCAGAAACACCAAGCAGTGAGGCGAGGGTGAAGGGGTAAGGGGCTGTGTGGGGCAGAATCTACATCTGACTACTCCATCTAGCCTGGGGGGTCGGAGGAGGGGGGGGCAGAAGGGGTAAGATATGGGTGAAGCCAGCTAGTCGGACGCCCTGTCGTCGGAAGACTCCTCGGAGCCGGTGTCCTCGTCGTCGTCCTCGCCCGACGCGGAGGTCGGGCGAGAGGTCTGCATCGCCTCGCCGGCTGTGAACCTGAACACGGCGTCGGCCGGCGCCGAGGCGCCGGCGGCCGTCATCAGGTGCATCACAAATCTGTCGCGGCATGCCGCATCAATCTCTCCATACTCGGCCAGCTCGTTTGCGAGCCAGTCCGTTGGAGCTCGAGCGTTGGAGGGTTGGACTTGGAAGCTTGGTTGGTGGGCGCTTTGTGTCGATGCATACTCGTTTGATAATCCTAAAAAAACTCTGACATTTTACGAACTCCTTGGCGACGTGCGCGTCGCGTCGCCAAAAGGCTCTGCGACCTCGGTCGTACTCGGTGACCCTCGGCCGGCACACACCCGTACTGCGTACAAATACGGCTTTAATGATAAACCAATAAAAATCGCGAGATGGGTGGTGTGAGACTGTGCCCCCACCTGCACTGCTCTGAGCGAAGTCGTGTGTGGCCCGTGGCGCACATTTTAAGTGGGGTGGGTGTGGGAACAGCTCATAGAGCTCACACGCCTGCAAGCAGCTCCAGACTGAGGCCATAGCCGAGGGTGGCGACGAGCACGCCGGCGAGGGCGGTGGCGGGGACGCCGGTGGCGAGGAAGTGGGCCGACGAGAGGTAGGAGTCGCCGAGGTCATCCTCGGCCATCAGCGAGTTGAGGTTGGGGAAGGAGGAGACGGGGAGCGCCATCGCGGCCGAGCAGGCGAGCGCGCAGCAGAAGACGAGCGGGACGGGCTGCCCGACCTACGCGGCGGCGGCGGCAAAGGCGGCGGTACGCGGCGGGCTGGCTGGCGAGCGTTCGCCCGCAACACATCGCGGCGCGGGCAACACATCGCGGCGCGCTGGCTGCGGAGGCGCTACGGAGGCGGCGGAGGCGGCGGAGGCGGCGGAGGCGGCGGAGGCGGCGGAGGCCGGCCGTGGCAGCGGAGGAGACGGCGGCGGTGATGGTGGCGGCGACGGTGGCGAGGGGCTGGGATGGGGGAGGCGACGGCGAGGAGGCACACACATGAAGGAGCGCAGCTTGGCGAGCCGGCAGTACAGCGCCGCCACCTCCTCCTGCGACAGGAGCGCCTCACCGCCCGTCGCGAGCGCGACGCTCGTCTCGATCGACTCGGTCTCCGCCACAGACACCTCGTTGACCCGGCGCAAGTCGTCGTCGAGTGCGGCAAAGAAGAGCGCCTCGACCTCGGCGTACGGGCCGGAGAGCAGCGGCGCCTCGAGCTCGGACGGTTCCCGCAGCGAGAGCGACGCCGTCGGAGAGAAGGAGCCGCTGGACTGAGCCCTGTGGCGGGTATGGCCGGGCGGCAGGTCGGAAGCCTGAGCGTTTTGTGCAGGCCGCAATTGCAGCGAGGACCGGCGCTCGCAGCGTTCGCAGCACTCGCAGCCAGCGTGCGGCGTTTGTGTCCCAAGCTGTGCGTTAGTGGAGGGCAGCACGTGCGTGCGTGGAGGCCAGGTGTGCGTGCGCGGTGCTAGACGGCTGAGCTGAGGCAGGGCCCACGTCGGAAGCCTCTTGAGCAGCCGCTTGAAGCGCTTGTAACCGATGTACGACTCCCGCCACTCGGGGATGGCACGGAGCTGCAGCACGCGACCGAACTTCATGAGCGGGCGGAGCGGGCGGCGACGCAGCAGCGCGCAATCGTGGGAGGCTGGCGGAGGTGGCCGAGCAGAAAACGTTTTCTTCTTTTTGAGAGCGCCTTCGTTGTTAATCCCCAATGGTCCCGTTCAAGCGGTCCCCTGTCGCAGTCGCACACACGCACACGCCGCACCGCACCGCGCGCCCGCCCGCTGCCCCGCCCAGGCGGGAAAGAGATGAGGAGATGGGACAGCAAAGGAGGAGGTACAAACACGTATGGGGTATGGGAGGGTTCAGTTGTGCGCCACGCTGCCCGGCGTCTCTCACTTTCCGGGACAGCCCCGCCCTTTTGAGGCAGGAAAGTGGCGGCTACCCCGTACGCCCTGCAGCCTGCTACCCCGACGCCGACCGCCCAGGGCGCGGATGTCTACGCTCCGCCCCCCCTCCCGAAGCCCGGAGTGGAATGTATCGCCCATGACGTAGTCAGGCAGGACGGCGATGCCTCCGTCGGAGGTGCAGTTCAGCGAGTCGAGGCTCAGCTGGTCCCTTGCATTTGGGTCAGGGTGGCGATGCCATTGCTCTGTGAGCGAGGCGCCCCACCGGCTGAGACACCGCTCCCCCGCACCTGCCCATGAAACAATCAGGCCGCTGTGCCGCTTTTCCATCCCGCCAAAATGGTTAGGAAGAATAGCGAGCGCCGGCTGCGGCGCAAGCGAGGCCAGGTTGGTGCGTAAGCCTTGCCACTGCGCACTGCTGCCAGTGTAGATGATGTCGGCGTCAAGGTACACGATTGTTTCCGGTGCGAGGCCAGCCGCGCGTGCATGTGCCCACACGAGGGTCTTGTGGATCTTGACGAGGAATGCGTGGACCTCGGTTCGGGCACGCACCACACTGACCCCGAGCGCTCCAACATGCGCCGGTGCGCGGTTTCCCGCGTCAATCAGGCGCAAAACGCAAGAAGGCCTGTCGGTCACAACGAGGGCGTGAATTCCCGGCTCGTTGGTTGCCAGCGGTGCGAGCGCGTCCAGCGCCTCGCCCAGCATCCCGCGGCTTGCAACACTCTGAAAGGCGATCAAGGCGAAGAGAAACTTTGGGGTTTGCGATGCATGTGGTGGTGGCAAGGATATACTTGTAAGAGGCCTTGTAAGAGCACGGCTTTCATCGTTGAGGGATGCCGGCGTGAATGGCTTTGCGAACGTTGCGAGAGGCGATGTCGGCCACGGGGAGTCGTACCGCTGCGAGGAGAGAAGCGCGGAGGTGGCAGAGTACGAGGAGTGCGCAAACCCGGCTCCGAGGCAGAACAGCGCGAGGATGCCAAAGAGGCGGAGCAAGTTGTAGGACTTTGGCCACGAGAACCGGCCGGCGGCAGAGCCCTCGGGCGTGGTGGTCGTGGTTGTCTCGACGTTGACCGTCGCACCCTGAACAGGAGGGCGCGAGACTGGCCGTGTGAGAGCGGCGAGCGGGGGAGGAGGCCGCATGTATGCAGGCGGCGAGCACCGAGTCTGTTGTCGGCGGCGTGGAGCCGCCGGTCGCCTTGCCGTTGCCACCGAGGATGCCCTCGTTGCCGTCCGTTCCGAGCAGGGCCCCGAACCTGTTCTTGCCGCCGACCGGGGTGATGCTCTTGGTGCGGACGATCGGGGCGGATGCGCCCTTGCGCCCCTTCTTGCGGCGCGGGTTCGACGGGGTTGTCCGGTCGGAGATACCCTGCGCACGCGCAAGCGGTGGGTGCGTCAATAGTTCGGGCAATCTCGGGTGGCGCATGAGAACGAGCGATAGAGCACCTCCACAAAGAGGTGCGGAAGTGCCATACCGGTCTCGGAAGCGATCTCGGGCAATCTCGGGCAATCAATATGCTAATTGACGAAACTTGATGACAATCTCGGGCAATCTCGGGTGGCGCATGAGAACGAGAAAAAGAGGTGCGGAAGTGCCATACCGGTCTCGGAAGCGATCTCGGGCAATCTCGGGCAATCAATATGCTAATTGACGAAACTTGATGACAATCTCGGGCAATCTCGGGTGGCGCATGAGAACGAGCGATAGAGCGCCTCCACAAAGAGGTGCGGAAGTGCCATACCGGTCTCGGAAGCGATCTCGGGCAATCTCGGGCAATCAATATGCTAATTGACGAAACTTGATGGCAATCTCGGGCAATCTCGGGTGGCGCATGAGAACGAGCGATAGAGCGCCTCCACAAAGAGGTGCGGAAGTGCCATACCGGTCTCGGAAGCGATCTCGGGCAATCTCGGGCAATCAATATGCTAATTGACGAAACTTGATGACAATCTCGGGCAATCTCGGGTGGCGCATGAGAACGAGCGATAGAGCGCCTCCACAAAGAGGTGCGGAAGTGCCATACCGGTCTCGGAAGCGATCTCGGGTAATCTCGGGCAATTAATTATGTTAATTGACGAAATCTCGGCTCAATCTCGCCAATCTCGGCTAATCTCCTGCTCTGATTGCTGCACATCGTGTTCCGGGCACCAGTGCTGCTTCTCTCTGCTTTGAGAGCGTCTTTGAGGGGGGGAATTGAGTGGAAGGGGGGCTCAAGAGGGCCGCACCTACTCGCAGCGCACGCAGCTTGAGGCCCGGCGCCAAGGAAACCGCGGCACACCCGCCTCGCCCACGTTGTTTTGGATCTGCGAGGGCGCAGGCGGCGGCGAGCGAGCGTCAGCAGCATAAGATGGGACGAGCATAGCGCGGGCTCGTTTTGGGGGTCGCGGGGGCGCATTAGGCATGAAGGCGACCCGCGGCCGCGCGCTCAGCAGCGCTCAGATCGGCAATCCGATTGTGCCAGACTCGATCCTCGGCGGCTCGCGCGGCGGACGCAGCTTGGCGTGCAGCCGGGCACGGGCTCGCTGCAGTGGTGGTTGTGGGGCGAGGCGAGAGGGCCCGCGCGGGGGCAGCTCTCATCTCGCGCTGCGTCGCGCCGGGCGAGGGGCGAGGCGAGAGGCAACCATGGCTGCACACCTTCCAAGCTGCACCCCCTTCCAAGCTGCACCCCCTTCCAACACCGACGGAGCTCTCACACGGCTCGATCAAAAAGAGCGCCTTCGGCACTACTCTCTCGAGGTCTCGCGGGGGCAGCTTTGGAAGGGGGCAATCTGTACGCCCAACGTGTGTGTGTGTGTGTGTCACTCACTCACTACCCCCAGCTTCGCGAAGGCGACGCACCATTTTTTGAGTCCTTGTGAGTAGGTGAGTACTGTGAGTGAGTGAGTGTGTGTCCTATTCGGCATTGCGTTTTTTTGAAGAAATGGCTAGTTGCAGAAAGGAGCGGGACGAAGAATCGGCGAGGGACTGTGCGAATAGAGATAGGAGAGGTGCAGACGCCCAAGGCTGGGTGTGGGCGACGGCTAGGGGCTAGCACCACACTCCTCTCCTTAAAATCCCTGTGTGGGGAGAGAGATTGCTGTGTGTGGTGGCGTGCCGCCGTCCTTTCATCCCTCCCTTTTTTGACAGTTCTTCTTTCTTTCTTTCAACGAAAAACGCTTCCAACGAAAAGCGGAGAGCACAGAAGTCCTCGACGTCTGGGTAATAAAACAGCTCCAGCTGAGCAGAAGCTCGCCTGTCGCACCTGTGCCCCCCCCCCCCCCCTCCCCTGCCCACGAGCGCTCGCTCAGGGCGCGACGCCCTCGGCGGCCAGCTTGTGCAGCATGTCCGCCGCGGCAGTCTCGGGCGGCTGCGGCCGCGAAGGCGCGTGGCCCTGCAGGTAGGCGACGTCGGGCAGCTCCATCCCGTTGAAGTTGGAGCCGGCGCACGACGTGTACGCCCCCATGTCGGAAAAGTAGAGCCAGTCCCCAACCTCGAGCGCCAGCTCCGGGAGGTGCGCGTCGGCGATGACGCAGTCGATGCCGTCGCAAGTGGGGCCCAGGACAGTGCACGCCGCCACGCCCTCCCCGCCCGCCGCGTCACTGCCGCCACCCTCACTGCTGCCACCGCGGCAGCCGCCGCCCCCGCCGCCGCCACCCCCGCCGCCGCCACCCCCGCCGCCGCCGCCCCCGCCGCCCCCGCCGCCGCCGCCCGCGCCGCCGCCGCCCTCGCCCCGCGCCTACCTGCATTTTTCTGGCAGCAAACGTCTCCCCCTCGACGCGGACCTCGAGCTGAGCATGCTGAAGACACGTCACACGCCGATCTTGACCATGCTCCCAAGCGACGGCACCGGCACCAGTGGCGCGCAAGGCGCGGCGGGAGGCCACGGCGGCGGAGGCGCGCCGAGGGGGTGGGTGCAAGCGGTGGCGGGGGCGGCGGGGGCGGGGATGGCGGCGGCTGGGATCGCAGTGGTGAGGCGGCGGCTCCGCTGGTGGTGAGGCGGTGATGCTGAGCAGGCAAGGTTGGGGGCTGGGGCGGGTGCGGTGGGCAGGCCGCCCCCCACTGATGCCACACTGCAGCGGCAGGAGCTCGACGGTGGTGGTCTAGAGCTCCGCCCGTCGCGGGAGAGGGTCAGACGGGAGAGGGGCTGGCACGGCCGGCAGGACTGGCAGGGGAGAGGGGCTGGCACGGCCGGCAGGACTGGCAGGGGAGAGGAGCTGGCAACGGCCGGCAGGACTGGCAGGGGAGAGGAGCTGGCACGGCCGGCAGGACTGGCAGGGGAGAGGAGCTGGCAACGGCCGGCAGGACTGGCAGGGGAGAGGAGCTGGCAACGGCCGGCAGGACTGGCAGGGGAGAGGGGCTGGCAGCGGCGGTCAACCCGGAGCAGTTGCAGCAGGTGCTCGGTGCAGCACGGCGCGGCCCGACACGACGTTGAACGTCGCGAGGTTGCCGGGCACCATGGCCGCCATCGACTTGAGCATGCGCTCGTGCGCGTCGCCGAAACCGAGCAGCTGGAACGCAAGTCGGCCGAGCGTCGCGGAGTGCAGCGCCCGCAGCTGGCCGCCCAGCAGCTGCGGCAGCTCGCGCTCGTCGACACGGTCGGAGGGACGTCCGTCGGAGAGGAAGAGCACCGACGTCTTCGCGTGCGGTAGCAAGTGCGCGTCGGCGTGCGTCACGAGCCTGGATATGAGACACCGGGCTGAGGATGTGACCCAGTGGCATTGCATCCCATAGACTATTCTTCGGCATCTAGGGTCACGAGCTCGACGAGCTTGGAGAGCGCGGGCAAGTACGGGCCGTGCGAGCGAGGGTCGTCCAGCGCGGCGTCGATCCGCTCGGCGAGCGTCGCGTCGAGCGGGAGCAGCGCAAAAGGCACAGCGGCGCCCGCGGCGTCCTCGGACTGGATCTTGATGAGGGAGACGCGGTCGGCGGAGACGGCCCCCGCGTCGAGCTGCCGGCGCAGAAAGTTGTCGAGCAGCACGCGGCGCACCGCTTCGGCGCGCGAGATGGGCGGCTCACCGCTGACCACCTGCGGACCGAAGGCGTCGAGAGCTGGCATTTAGGATGAGGGCGGGTACGAGGAGGGTGGGCGGGTCGGTGGGTGGGGGTGAGGGCGGGTAGGCGAGCGGGTGGGGGGGGGGGGAGGGGGGCGGCCTCGACGTCGGTGTTACGCATTGAAGCGGAGGCGTCGACGATGAGCACGTGATGGGCCGTGTAGCTCCGCCGCGGCGGCGAGCAGAGGTCGTCGGGCAGGCGGGACGCGAGCGCGTGGAGCGGCGAAAGCCTCGCCCGGAGCGCCTCCAAGCGCGCGTGGCCCCGCTCCAGCTGCTCGTCGTATCCCTCGAGGTCCGAGAGCGCGAGCAGTGCATCGCGCACCTCCGCCGCGGTGGAGTAGCCGCTCTCGAGCTGCTGCAGCATGCGCCGCGTCTCCTCGCTTGCGCCCTCGTCCTCCTCGCCCTCCTCCTCGCCCTCCTCGCCCTCCTCCTCGCCCTCCTCGACCTCGCCTCCCTCGGCAATCGTCCCGAGCATCGACGCGACCGCCCTCCGGGCGGCTGCGGCTGCGGTGTCGATGGTGTTGGCACCGCGGCTGGCGAGGTCGAGGAGGAGCCTCGGCGGCTGCACACCCTGGCTCGCCTCTCCAAGCTGCGGCGGCGGCGGCGGCTGCTCCTGCTCTGCCCCTGACACCTGCTCGAGGAGCTCGACTATCTCGGCGCCCTCGCCGTGCAGCTGCCGCGCGCGCGCCAGCGGCGTGAGGCCGCCGACGGCGATCGCCGGGTTCGCGCCGCCGTCCAGCAGCTCTCTTGCGTCACCACCATCGCCCCCTCCGCCGTCGCCCCCTCCGCCGTTGCCGCCACCACCATCGCCGCCACCCACGCCACCGCTACCACCGTGCCAGCTCGGCGGGCGGGTTCGCTCGGTGAAAGGGTGGGGAACGAGCGGCAGCGGCCGCGTCTCGCGGCTCCCCGATGGCAGCAGCCTCACCTGCGAACGGGAGGTGGCAGGGATTGTGAGGCCGAGATTTGGCGAAGCCGCTCGGGCGCCAAATCGAAGCGCATCGCATGGTGGGAGCGGAGAGGGAGCGGCGGGTTGCGTGAGCAGGAGGCGTCGCGCCGCTCGGGCGTGCAGCTCCCCGCGGCCATATGTGCGTCGACGCGGCGGGGCAAGCGCGAGCGGAACGGGAAAGGAGGGTTGGACCTGTGGACCGTCGGCGACGGAAGGGCGCGCGCAGTAGCTAGCCCGGTCGAACACTGCCCAGACAAATAAATTTTGAGCTGTTCCGCGAGCGCTCGTCAGCGGGTGGTGTGCGGTTCTTGCCGTAGTTCCTCTTCGGTCGCCTAGCCCCGGCGCCGTCTGTCGGACGCCTGCGTGTCACGAGTGCGAGCCGCTCGCGGTTCGTACGCCCGCTTGCGGGTTCGAGTGGCGGGCTATCCCGCTTGCGGGATGGCTTAGCGGGTTCGAGCCGTCACACATTGGCTGCCGGGGTGTGCCGAGGGGGGGCTGGGTGGGCGGTAGGCCGTCATTGCCCGGCGCTGCTTGCAGCGCTCTGGGTGGTAGTGGCGGCGCTCCAAGAGTGGTGCTCTTGGGAAGAGGTTCCTCCTTTCCGCTCCCCCCCCGCAAGGCGCGAGACACACACACACACTGTTTGGGGATTCGCTCCGTGTGTGTGTGTGTGTGTGTGCCATGCGTGACCTAGTAGTGTCCCCAGCTATGGGCGTGTCCACGTTGGAGCCAGGTGTGGTGTGGGCGCGAGAATAGCTCCGCCGTTCATGGAGGCAACCGATGCGAGTCGACTGGTGTGTGTCGTCGTGGTTTCGTATCAAGAATACTCACTCACTCGATTCGCTCCGAGCGACGGTCCAACGAGAATCAAAAACAAAATCAGGCAATGAAGAGACCGGTAGCCACCAGCAACTCTGCGCCGCTCCGGGGCGGCGCTGATGGCGGAGCAGTCGAGGCCGTTTACCTCCCTGCTGTATTCAACGAATCGATCGAGCACGTCGCTCCACGCCGAGGCATTAGCGCATTACTCTTTCCATCGCACGTCTCTAGTGCTCTGTCCGCTTGCGCTGCCTCCGGGCAAATGATTTCTTTTTTCGCTCGCGGAGTCATCGCAGGGAGTCATCGCAGCTTTATACGTATGCTCATCAAGACGCTCGCCGACGAGAAATACGAGGTCGATGTGGCCGAGACGGCGACGGTCGCCGAGGTCAAGGCCAAACTCGAGGCCATGGATATCGGGGCGCCCGCAGACCGCTCCAAAATCATCTTTCGTGGCCGCGTGCTCGCAGACAGCGCCGAACTCTCCTCGCTCGGCATCGCCCCAGGCGACTTTATGGTGCTCATGAAGCCCAAGCCTGCGCCTGCCGCATCCGCCGCGGCGCCGGTCGCTGCGCCGACGCCACCTCCAGCGCCGGCGCCGGCACCGGAACCGGAGCCCGCTCCGGCGCCACCGCCCGCAGCGCCGCCTGGAGTCGACGCTGCTGTGGTGGACTCACTCGTTGAGATGGGATTCCCGCGCGATGCCGTCGTGGTCGCTCTGACCGCAGCCTTCGGGAATGCCGATCGCGCGGCTCAGTACCTCTTCGACCCCTCCTCGATGCCGGCAGAGAGCGCTCCGCCCGCTGCGCCACCTCCGGAGGCGACTCCGCTGGCCGCGCCGCCGGCGGCCGCGCCGCCGACTGCCGCGCCCGCGGCCCCGGCGGCCACTCCCGCCTTCACCGCGGACAACATCCTAGCTGCGATCGGCGGAGCGGCGCCCGCCGCGCCGCCTCCGCTGACGCCGCTGCAGCGCATGCTGTCGGAGCCACGACTAATGCAGTGTGTGACGCTGGCGCGGCAGGACCCGAGCCAGCTGGGCCCGCTGCTGCAGCAGCTGAGCACCGAGGCACCCGCCCTGCTCACCCTCGTGCAGGCCCACCAGGTGCTCGCCCTCCCGCACCGCCAAGCCCGTCTAGCGCACACACCCAGTCCGTCGGCGGTCACTTGGAGCGTGGGCCACTCCGAGCATCGCGCGAGTAGCGCTCACTGGTCGCCACAGCACTCGCGCGCGGCCTTGGCTCTAGCCACGGCTCACCGGCTCACCGGCTCACCGGCTCACCGGCTCACCGGCTCACCGGCTCACGGCTCACGCCCCCCCCACCCCTCCCCCTCCTCTCCACCCCCCCCCCTCCCCGTCGGGCGGCGCTGCACGGCCGCAGCAGCAGCGCCGCCCATCAGCGCGCACTCCGCCACGCCACTCCTCTCCCCCCCACCATCGGGCCGCAGGCCGACTTCCAGCAGCTCCTCACCATGGAGAACATCGAGGCCGCGTTCACCGAGGCGGCCGCCGCACGCAACGCCCAGTCCGCACCCCCCGTCGGCGGTGGCGGTGGCGGCGGCGGCGGCGGCGGCGGCGGCGGCGGCGGCGGCGGCGGCGGCGGCGGCGGCGGCGGCGGCGGCGGCGGCGGCACGGTGCAGATCCAGGTGACGGCGGAGGAGGCGGCGGCGATCGGTCGGCTGCAGCAGCTCGGCTTCTCGCGCGATGCAGCGCTGCAGGCACGCCCCGCATGCCTGTCTGTGGTACAGCCCCAGCCTACCCCGCGTGAAGCCTCGAGGGGTCTCGAGTTGCGGAGCTCCCGGCTGCTCGGTGTGCGAACTCTGTTCCCACCGAGCAGCGAGGAGTGGCTGCGGCGATAGCAGACAGCCCGCCAAGCCGCCCCGAGGAGCGCCCCTCACTCAGGGTTCGAGACGTGAGGGGGGTACGGTAGGGTTGGATCGCGAGATCTGTGCAGATCCCCTACCCCCCTACCCCCTCCATTTGGGCGTTTACCCAGCTGCCACGTCTCCCCTTCCTCTTCGCCACGTCTCTCGCCCGCGGCGTGTGCCCGTCTCCCGAGTCCCCCCTCCCGCTCCCCCTTCCCGCCTCCCGCAGGCGTTCCTGGCATGCGACAAGAACGAGGCGCTGGCGGTGTGCACCGCCTCTGCCTAGCTGCCGCCGCGAATACCAACGCCCGCGCCGTAACCTCGCGCCGGGTGGGGGATAGGCGAACCTGCTCTTTGACTCGGACTGAGGTGCGGCGGCGGCAGCAGCGGCGGTTCTGCGGGGCGTTGTCGGTGGTGCAGCACCCCGCCGCGGCAGCGGCCCCCAACGCGGCGGCGGCCCCAACGGTGCACGCGACAGAGGCATCTCGGATCTCGTCCGAGGTCGCTGTTTTTGCAGGGGGGGTGCGGGGTGTGGAAGGGAAGGGGGAGTGTGGTTGGGGCGGACTCACAGGCTGCGATTCTTTTGAATTCTTTTGACTAACCTTGGAGCACTTGGAGTGCAGTCATCAACCTCACATCCAGGACCGGGGAGCTAAGAAGCGCACCCAGTTGGCCGGACGCTCGGCATCGGGTTGCGGGCAGAGAGCCCTAGCTAGCCCCGGGGGTGCGCGGTCGCAGGGCCATAACACGGGTCTCCGAGGGCGTACAGCAGCGCTCCGGGTTTCCCTAGCGGCGGAATTTTTCCCTCACGCTTCCTTGGGCCCCTCCTGCAGCTACCGGGTACCAATCACTCCGAAACCTGCCAACCTCTCCTGCCCTGGACGCCCTTGCATGGAAAGCTCAGTCATCGTCACGCTGGAGAAGACCGTTGACGCACTGAAGATCACGATACCACCCCCGGCGCTCGGCCCGCCGTCGCTCCCACCTTCTCCGCCTGGCGGGGTCGACCTTGAGGCGCAGACCACCATCTCGCCCAGCCCGCCCCGCCGTGGGGCGGTTGAGCTCCGCCGAGCGAACCAGACCTCGCGTCAGCCTGAATCACTCTGGTCGCTTGTGTGAGCGCTCTCACTTCCATTATTTGTTATTCCATTATTCAGTATTCCAGTCCAAGCTTGATACAAGTGCGGAGCCTGTCGCGTCCCTGGACGTCACTTGGTCATATGTGCATTAGGTTCCAAGGGGGCATGTGTGTAATTGATCGCGTCTATACAAAAAGAGACGTTTCGCACACAAGCGTTCGCACTGAGACGCCGCGGCGCCCGAACAGTCCGTGACCGGCTCAATCCGCGTCGTCAGCGGCGTACTTGGAGTAGTCGGGGCCATCGTTGCGCGACTTCATACTGCTCGGCCCCGTCGTCTTGCCGAAGCGGTAGTCGGAGGGCGCCTGCGGGGAGACGTCGAGGCGAGGTTGATGCCGAATGCAACTTGTACGCGGGTGCCGAGGGGTTTCGGGGAGAGGCTGCACCTCCGGCGCCAGCGCCGTCTTGCGCGTGCCGACGACGCGCAGGGACTGCGCGGCGGCCCGCGCGTCCGCCTCGGCGCCAGACTTTTTCCACCGCGCCGCGGACGCGCCTGAGGGCAGGCCCAAGGAAGGGTCCGGCGCGGCGTGCGGCCACTCTGTCTTTGCCACATAGCGGACGCGCCCGCGACGAGCAGCAGCGCGTCGGTGGAGCCGGCGGGTTGCACCGCAGAAACGACCGCCTTGCGCGACTGGTGTTCACACACGAGGCGTGAGGGACTTGGAGCATCGGGTGAACTCGGGCGGGCGATATCCGGCGCGAAGGCATGGGCGACCGTGAAGCAGCAAGGGAGCCTGCACATTGCCCTCTCGGGAGCTGGTTGGCATCTAGGCTTGCGCGCAGATTCGGCGCCGCCCGGAGAGAGCGACGTGAAGGAGATGTCGACAAGCCGCTTGCCGCTCGACGTGGCGTCGGCGATCACCTTGCCGTCGACAGGAGCCCCATACGCACCGTACCGCCCGTCCACTCCAAGGACGGCGGAGGTGAACCACTTGGCGGGCAGCGAGTCGAGCGTCGAGCCCTTGGGCAGCGCCACGCGCTGCAGAAAGGCGGCCTCCCCGTCGCGGGTGTTCGCCTCCACGTCGTAATAGCCGCCCTCTGCAAGCTTCCACTTGCTGTCGAATGCGACCGAGCAGATCAGCCCGCCGGCGACGACGAGGTCAGCGCTGAGAGTCTGGCCTTGCTGTGACACCTGGTCGACGAGAACGACGCCGAGGTCGGGGCGCGTTTTGCCGGTCATCGTCGTCGCCGAGATGGCCAGAGCGCTCGGCGGATGGATCAGCCCGCCACAGCCGCAGCCGCAGCCGAACGCCAGCGGGGAAAGGAGGCCAGCCGCCACGAGCGGCGGCGCAGACAGGACCGCGCGGCGCCGCATCGGCTGCGGGACGAGGCTAGCAGCGAGCGGGAGGATGAGGAGGAGGGCCATAGAAGGTGCTTCGGTGTCCGGCCACCGAGGTGCTTTAACCCCTTCCCAGATAGGGGGTCTTCGAACTGACTGGACACCAACGCGGTATGGGTGGACGCCGGACAGATGATTCACACCGAGCAGCGAGGGCAAACCCCGGAAAGTGCGGCAAAAATAAGCGCCTGCACGTGTAGGCGCGCAGCTTAGCCAAGCTCGCGCCCACACGCTAGGTGCTTGTGTCAGATACGCGCCCACACGTGCAGGTGCGAGCCTCTAGGGGGGGTCCCGAGGCGGGGGGGGGGGTCCCGAGGCTTCACCACATGCTAGGGGGGGGGTCCCGCCCCCCCCAGCGCCTTCACCACACGCTGGGGGGGGGGGTCGTGCAGGCCGAGGACCCCCCCAGGTCAGACCTTCCGGGCCCTTGATTTTACACCTCATTTCGCAGCCTTTTTCGAGGAAAATCAGGGGGTTGGCCCGACGAGCCGATCTCATATCGGTGGCTGGGCCACGGTTATGAGCTTCATGCATGGCGGCGGCGACGCTCACTGGGCTGCCCCGAGGCTCCCGGTGCCGCCCCTTAAACGTGCATGATCTTGTCTTGTTGGTAAGAGCTCTAAGAAACGATCTGAATTTCATGATCTGGTGTGTCCACACGGGTCTACATCTGCATGCCATGTCATATCATGCGAAAACACATGCACCATGCGGGAGGGCAAGGTGGCGCGGACGGAGGGGGCGAGACAGTAGGTAGGGTAGGTCTGGGCCATCCCGTCGGGTTTTTCCCTCTCTTCAAGCTGGAATTATCAAAAAAAGAAATTTTCCGCGGAAATCACGATGTCAACCACCCTCCCCAAATGGGTGATCTGATGCTTGTAGGGCTTGAGAGTGGCCTGCCATGTCACAAGAAGGACTGTGGTTGCAGGAGAGTACCACCAACCATCACTCTAGTTGGTATAGTACCCCAGCTTCACCCACGAGCGATTTCTTCTTTAGTTTCCCATAAGTAAGGTAGGTAGGTAGGTAGGTAGGTAGGGGCACCGCAGGGGCCGGCCAGGTTTTTGCAGAATTTCAGCATCAGGTCCGCCCAAGCAAAAAAAGTACACACCTGCCCCTATACTATACTCTAGAAACACAATCCAGAGCTAGGTACTGCGACGGTGTATCATTCACTTTACCGTTGCATATCCGGATATGCAACGGTGGCATAAAGTGAATGATACACCGTCGCAAAACTGCATTGGGTCTCGAGTTACACCGTCGCAGGTACCCATAGCCATATACGTACGGTAAGACACCGTCGATATGTGTAAAAGCTAGCCCCGTTCGTCACGTTTTATGGTGAACAGCGGCGAAACAGCGCAATGCTCGCAGTGACGCACCCCGTTACCTCCAGCCGGGCCCGCGCTTGCCCTTGGTCTTGACGCGGCCGGTCGAGCCGCCGTCCCACTCCTCTTTCTTCTCCCACTTGCTCTCCTGCTTCGGGTTCCCCTTGACATAGACCGCCTCGCCGTCGCGGTACATCGTCCGGTTGCCCCCAACCGCCTCCTTGCGGCTCTGCGCGTACGGCAGCCGCGGCGGCTCGAGCGGCGGAGGCGCCCCGCCCTCCGCGTCAAAATCGCGCTGCGCGTCGTACCGCCCGAGCACGCGACGGCGGTCCACCTTGCGCTGCCGCTGCTGCTGCGCGGCGGCGGCCACCTCCAGCTGCGCCGCGCGCTGCTGCTCAGCCCGCATCTCCTCCTCGAGCGTCTCGAGGCTGCCGCCGAGCAGGACCTCTATCGCCGCCTGCACGTCGCCTCCCTCGCACCGCAGAACGTGCCTCGCCAGCGCCGCGCTGGCGGCCGGCACAACCTCGAGCAGCGTCAGCTCGGCCGTGCTCGGCGTCGGCGGCGCCAGCGGCGCCGTGAGGGAGCGGCCGCCCGTGGGGCTAGCACCGCTGGCGCAGCAGCTGCGGCCGCTGCTGCGGCCGCTGCTGCGGCTGCTGCTGCGGCCGGAGCCGCTGCCGCCGCCACCGCTGCTGCTGCAGCTGCTGACGTCGCCACCGCGTCCGCCTCCGCCATTTTCGCCACAACATGCCGTGGATGTCCTCTCAACACGGCCCGAAGCAGGCGCAGCCGTTGCTGACTGTTCGCGCAGGCAGCGAAGCTCTGCTCGCATGTCCTCTGACCCCTCGGTGCCGATGCCATGAGCGGCGAGGAGATCCACGATGCCGTCGAGGTCCGAGTCGCTTTCGGCGTCCTCAGCGACAGAGCGGACGTAGGCCTCGACGTCCTCGTCGAGGGAGGTGAACCAGGGGCACGCACGGCCGGTCATGGAGAGTTCGACTTGTCGAGGAACGCCGATTGGGCGCAAGGTTTGAAGAAATCGCGGCATTGCTTATCTTCGCCGCGGCTTTATAGCTGCACACACCAACGAGACACGCACACCAACAGCGTGACAATTTGCATGACTGCCGCGCGAGTCGGGACCGTCGTCGTCGACGGCGAGGTCGTGCCGCACAACTTGGAGCTCCAGCAGCCAGACCTGCGAGCCGCGGCCGGAGCGCCGGCAGCTCGAGAGGTTTTTGTGCGGAAGGCCTGTCCTGCCGGCCGACCGGCCGCAGCCATCACCTGCTCCTTTGGGATCGTCGCCGCTGCTCTCGCGTACACGCTCTTCTACCTGATTGCTGCGCCGCCGCCGCTGCCCGTGGCAGCGCCGCTCCCGTCGGCAGACAGGGTGCTGACGCGGGTCGTGCACGGCTCGTGCTCGAAGCAGACGCTGCCGCAGCCCTTCTGGCGCACCGTGGGGTCGCTCGCGCCCGACCTCTTCGTTTACAACGGCGACATCGTGTACGGCGACTGCGCCGACGTCGCGCGGCCGCACGAGGCGTGGAGCGAGCCGGCGTGCGAGGAGCTGCGCACTGCGTGGGCGGACCTGTTCGCCCACGAGGAGTTTACGAGCGCGCGGGCGGTGACGCCGGTGATCGGCATGCCGGACGACCACGACTACGGGCTCAACGACTGCGGCGCGTCGAACCCGTACAAGCAGACCGCCAAGGATCTCTTCCTCGAGCGGTTCGGCGCGGCGGAGGACGACCCGCGGCGCTCGCGGGGCGGGCTTTACACGTCGCACGCCTTCGGAGCGGCGCCCAACCGGACGCAGGTCATTTTGCTCGACACGCGCTGGTTCCGCTCCGAGCTCAAGCGCGACAGCGGCGCGGCGCACGGGCGGTACGCGCCCTACACGGAGGCGGAGGCGGAGGCGGGGCGGCTCACCATGCTTGGCGAGGAGCAGTGGGCTTGGCTCGAGGCGCGGCTGCGGGAGCCTGCGGATCTGCGGCTCGTGTTCTCGACGGTGCAGGTGCTCTCGACGGCGCACGGCTGGGAGCGGTGGGGACTGATCCCCACGGAGGTGCGCCGGCTGCGCCGGCTGATCCGCTCCTCTGCCGCGCGCGGCGTCGTCTTTCTTTCCGGGGACCGGCACGTGGGAGGCGTATACGTGCAGCCGGCCGCGGCGGGCCTCAACCCGTACCCTCTCTACGAGGCGACGGCGTCCTCCCTCACCCACACCGTCCCGCCCTCCCTCGCCACGGGCGACGAGCCTCCGCACGAGCCGGACGCCGACCTCTCCTCTTCGGCCCGGCGGCTCGGCGCGCTTCTCCACCTGAACCATGTCGGCAGCGTCGACGTGGACTGGGAGGCCCGCGCCGTCACGCTGCGCCTCATCACTGACGACACGTGCGCCTCCCACGCACGCACGCACGCACGCACGCACGCACGCACGCACGCACGCACGCACGCACACACGCACGCACGCACGCACACACACACACACACACGCACGCACGCACGCACGCACGCACGCACGCACACCCACGCGCATTGGGCCTTGCACTCTAACTGCCGTGGGGCTCCTGTCGTCTAGACGTGGAGTCGCGAGGGATGCCCAGCCTCTTCCCCCACCGCCTTGCGTGTGTGGAGAAGCTCACCTTGCCTTGCCTCCTGCAGGTGCGCTGCGCCGGCGTGGGAGGGCTGCCAGCAGGGGGGCAGCACCGCCGGCGCAACGGAACGGTCGGTGACGCTGCGACTCGACGTCGACCTCGCACCCCCGCCCGAGTGCGGCCGCCCGTGCGCCACGCCGCTCAACCCGGCGGCGACGTGCGCCGCTTTCGAGGGCCTCTTCTCCTGCGCCGGCAGCAGCGAGCTGCTCGGCTGCAACTGCACGGGCTGCTGCGCCGGCGAGGGGGAGCTGTAGGGTTGCGTGGGGCCGTGAGTGATGCAGTGCAGAGGGGCAGAGTTTGCGCTCACGCGCGGGCGGCGGGTGGGAGGTGTCCGACGGCTGGTCTCTTCGGCTGTTGTTGACTGTTGTGTGCATTGAACAAGAGAGCAGAGGGGTTTGTCGTGCTGCGTGGCCCCTGTGGCTGTGCATCTCTCAGCGAGACCACGCGCGCTACACGGCTCTATGCAGTGTGTGCGCGCGCGTTCGAGTTGTGAGCTTGTGTGTTGTGACCGGTCACATGCCTCTCATGCGTGATAGTTACGTTATATGTATATGTACGTGTGTACCGCCGAGAGCGCGAACCGCGCACAAGCGGCAAGGCCAAGCGGGCCAAGGCACTTGCGGAGCACTTGGAGTGCAGTCGGTAGCCTCACATCCAGGGCCGGGGAAGGCGGTGTGTGCGGATATATGAGAGATTTTTGAAAACCTCAAGCTCAACAAGAAATCACGACTTTCACAGAGTGATTTTTGGTATATGCTATATCTCGCACGAGCTCGCGAACTATCGTACGTGTCTATCAATGCCCTATATCTCCCTACGCCCCACGGCCGATGAAGAAGGAGTCGGCCACCCGCTCGCACCTCTCCTTCTCGCCGCCCTCCCACTTGGTCGCGCCCCCCGACGCCACCAGCAGGTAAGCGATCCCATCGACCTCGTACGCGTCCACAAAGGCGAACCGGTCGGTGGCACGCTGATTTGCGGGCGTGATCACAGTGTACTTGAGCGCCAGCCGCCGCCGCGCCTCCGCCGCGCCCGCCGGTGCCTCAAGCTCCTTGGCCGAGGTCACCTTGTACGCGTCGATCTCGACGCCCTCCCGCGCGATCTGCCCGTCGGGACTGAAGATTGCCTCGCCAAACCACTTTTTGGGCGTCTCCGCCAGCGAGGTCCCTGGCAGCGAGGCGCGCAGCACGTAGATCTTGAGGCCCGAGGAGCCGTCAACAAACTGAATTCCGCCTAGCGAGCGGCCGATCTGAAGCAGCTGCTGAGGGAAGTCGAAGCGCACCGGAAGAGAGAGCGCCTTGCTGCCCTTCGGCGTGCTGAGCTGATCCTCGTACCTCGAGTATTGGCCCAGCGGCGGCAGCGGCGAGATGTTGCCAGAGACAGAGAAGCGCTGAGCAAAGGTTGCTGGCTCTGCCGCTAGCGACGGCGCTACCCGTCCGGCCACCGCTGCCGCTGTGGTGACGGACAGCATGGCCCGGCGGTTGAGTAAGCCCGGGTTGCGGGTGGCGGCGGCGGCGACGAGAAGGATTGGCGAGAGCATCGGTGCGTGTGTGTGTGACTGCGACAAGGCGGCTGGCCGCACCGCAACTCGAGATCCCTCGAGGCTCACGCGGAGTCGGCTGGGGCTACCAGCACAGGCGACAAGGCAAGAGAATTTACAACCAAACAAAACTTCCACACTGGGCACGGGACTGGCGCGCACTGGCACTAACACAGGTACACCACGGGAGCCGCCTAAGCGACTCCTGCGAGGGTGGCGAGGCACTTAGCTCCGTGCACCCGCCCACCCCCGCCACAGGCAAGCTCATTCACGACCTGCTCTGCGATGGCCGTGTGTGAGTGAAGAACGACTGAGATGCGCTGCTTCTGCAGCCCCAGCCAGCTCTTGGTGGTCCAAGTCACCTCATCGAGGTACTGGGCCCGCGTCAGCTTGTTCTGTAGCACGTCCGCCGCTCTCCGGAGGCAAGAGAATATTTATTCTAGTCGTGTCCGCTCCGAACGTGTGTATGCACAACAGTCATGGCGCTGTCCTGTCATCTCAGGAGACGCCATGACTGATATATATACATAGTTAGAGGCTGCGCAGGCCGTCCCGTTTGCTGTATATATTCGGTGTGCGAAAAAAAAGCGCCTCTCGGCACCCCCAGGGCTAGGGCTCTCTTGCCCGCAACCCGATGCCAATCATCCGGCCCGCTGGGTGCGCTTCTGAGCTCCCCGGCCCTGGATGTGCGGTTGATAACTGCACTCCAAGTGCTCCAAGTGCTCGGGAGGGCTGGGGAGGGCGCGGTACCCGGAGGTGCTGCTCGTCGAGCATTCGCCGCTGCTGTCCTGCTGATGGAGCTGCTGTGCCGGCAGTTCGAGATGCAGCCCCTGGGGGCGAGCTGCTGGGGGGGTAGGCACGCCGCAGCGGACGAGGCGCAGCTCGTCGTCATGGCGAGCGACATCGCGGGCAGGGTGGAGGACCTGTACTGCACCGGCTACATGGGGCCGAAGGATCGCGGCGCGCGCTGCGTCCCAAAAGGGGCGGTCGAGGCATCCGAGCTGCCGCCGCTTCGGGTCGACCCGCCGCCGCTGTGGCCAAGGGAGCGGCCGCCGGCGGGGGGCTGGGGGGGCGCGGGCGGCGGCCCGGGCGGCGAGGCCCGCCTCGCAACCTTCAGCGGGCAGGGGCGTCGAGTGGCGCGATAGGAGGGTAGGCTGGCCTTGGGAGTTTCAATGGTTTATGGGGGCCCAGTACAGTTGTATTGTACGCATTGGCATATCGAGCCTGGGGGTGGTCTAGTTGGCGCAGCGTTCGGGTCGGGGACGTTTTGGTCGTTGGTTCGAGCCCAGCTGGTGCAGTTCGTAGTCGCGCAGCGACGCGGGCGCGCGGGTGCGCGGCAGCCTCGGCAACCGAGGCGACAGTGGCGAGCAGGGGCGAGCAGGGGCCAGAGCAGTGCGGCGCGCCGGTTTTGTTTTGCTTCAAGCAACTTGAATGTGTTGGAGGAGATGGCCGGCCGGGAGAAACTCGCTAAAACTCCCGGGCCGGCCCAGGGCGCGCAGGGGTGGTGGAGTCGGTGGGAGCTGGGAGTGTCACGGAGGCGGCCATTTTGGCACGCGCTCCTTGGTTACGTGGGTACGAGTTTTTCCTAGCTCTGTGGTCCTCGACGAGTCTCGTACTTCGTACACAAGTATTACCCCTCGAACGCCCCGATCGCCTCCGTCATCGCCGCCACGAGCCGCGACCTCTCCCCCTCGCTCTCAGTCCCTCCTCCACCTCGCCGCGTCGTGGTGCCGCGCCGCGTTCGCCCAGATGCGCAGCGAGTGCAGCTGGCTCCGAAGCTCGGCCGGCAAGCCGCACTCGCGGTACCAAAAGTTGATGCACTCCTCGAAGCCGTCGGGCGCCGCCGCAGAGCGCGAAGCGTAGACGGCGTCGAGGCGCAGCATCAGCGCCCGCGGTCGCCACGCTTGGGCTTCCGTTTTGACCTATGATCGTCGCTCTCGGCCACCCGCCATAGAATGGCTAGCCAGATGTCGGTGACTGCGTCGATCGGCCCGGGGATGCACTGGTGATAAACATCATCGAGCGCGCACGCCCACTTCGTGCGGTGGTCGACCATGTATCGGCGCAAAAAGTCCCAGCATTGCGTCTTGATGTGTGCAAGCCGAGAAAAGTGCTCGCCCGCTGCGCACAGTATATCGGCACTGGCGACGTGATATTGATCCGACAAGCCTGCCGTGTCGACGAGCAGAGTGCCTCGAAAGCTTGAAGCCTGAAGCTGTGCGGCGAATGTCAGCGCACTTGGTGGACCGCCAAAGCGTCGTGCGATTGTGGAACCACACTGATGATCGTAGCCCGCCCACTTCTGGGCCCACCAGTCCCCGTTGAGGTGATGGAAGACGATCACGGAAAATTCTGCCAGCGTGTGAACGCCAAGCAGGCGCCGAATTGTGCCGGGGATGTTGTCATTGTCTATATAGAAGAGAGGGCTATTGTATAGCAGGGTCAGCTGTGCGCCGTTGTGGAACTGGATTCTCTGCAGCTGTTCAGTCGGCCTTGTGTTTCTTATCGACGCGTTCGAAGATACTTTGATAGTGCAGTTGCTGCGCGTCTCGAATGCGGGCTGAGTATTCATGTAACGAAACGGACATTGGTCGCATCCGGGATGACGTAGAGCGACGTGCTGGACCTCCGCGTGGAAGCGGCAGAGCATCGACTGAATCAGCTGATTCGTGTGCGAGTTACCCAGCACAAGCACACGTGCTCCGGGTGGTAGAAGCTCCGCACTTGTGTGGTCATAGAGAGGAGAGAAAGTGCAGTTTGGGTCCTCAGGTAGACCTAAGCGCCGTGGGCGCTCGAGCCAGCGCTCCTGCACGCGACGCAGCTGCTCCGCCTTTGGCGACCCCTCGCCAATCACATAGTTGTGTCGGAGGGTGCATGTCCTGCTCGAGTTGAGGGAGTGCCGGCGTGGCATCTCGGCGAGAGGAGCGTCCATGTAAGTGAGCTGGTCCACGGCGAGCATCCGGGACAGGCTGCAAGGTGGATGACGCGTAGTCGACCAGAACCATGTGGCGAGAAGTTCGTCTGGTTGCCACACGCGAATGCGCAACACTTCGACCCAGCTGTTGTCCGGAAGGCCGGATCCCGCCTGGGCCTCCGGCGGCAGCCCGGGATCAAAGTGCTGTACCCCACTGACGGCCACCCGGCACTGTTCCCGTGGCCTCTACTCCACCGGTACCCAACCGACCGAGAGCCGCAGCCGAAGAATCCGAGGTGCTGCCGCTTCGGCCAGAACTCCTCCAAGCCCTGCCACGCATGCTCTCGAGCTGCCCGGCAGAAGATGTCGAGCACGAGCGGTTTGATGCGCGACCTGATCGGCAGCGCTGGGTGCAAGTAGAACCAGTGAAAGCGAGACAGGTTGACAGGCCCTTACACCCATGCGCCAGAGAAGCGTCTTGCCGCACATCGTGGTGCATCCATGCCTCTGCCTTTTCGCGTTGTGCCCGATGAAATCATAGTACTCTGACAGGTTGTACGCCACCACCTCCTGTGCCGCTCGCGGTCCCCACGCTTGGCGCAGGCAGGTTGACGAGGAAGTCCTCATGCGTCATGCTCGCACACGTGTCGTGTCTGGGCCAGCAGATCGGCGCATGCGACGGAGGGGGGAGCTGCAACCCTCTGGAGACCGCGAGCGAGCTCGCTGGCGAGCACGTCGGCATCTGCGCTCGCCTCACGCGTGAAAGTCTGTGTTGCACGCCACACGTCCCCCAAAAGGGCGGATGGCGAGAGACTGCAAGACAGCATTCGCATTTTTATGTTGCTTTTGGCGTAGAGCTGGGCACGAGCTGGGGGAGCGGCCGCGGCGTTTCGGAGGCGGCCGAGGCGAGGGAGAGTGTGATGCGGCTGCTACGGGCGGTCAATGGACAATCAATGCGCGTGCGAACGAAGGCGAGGGATGCCTGAGAGTGGCCTCCTGACTCCGGGCTCGCTCCGAGCAGCGTGTTTCTTTTTCGATCGAATATTTAAAGGGGAAAATTCCACAGGCATCACCCTCGAAGCACTAGCTTATACCCACAGATCTACCTGCGGATAGTTCTGCAGCGAGATGTGCCAGTTGGCGATGAGCGGCAGTGGGCGTAGGCACCCGTCGAGCTCACAGTACACGACGGTTGGCGCCTCGCCGCGCGTGGCCGCGTCCCGCTGCAGGAAGCGGTTCGCGATGAGCGACTGGATGAGGATCGTGAACGTCGAGCCCCACGAGCCGACGAGGTGGTCGGCGTGCGAGAGCAGGCCGAGGTCCGCGGCTGCAGTCTCCCGCGCGTCGACACCGTGCTCGGCAAATAGCCCTGGGTGCGATGCGCTTTTGTTGCGCTCGACGCCGTGCAGCGCGCACTCATTGCCGAGTGCACGCTCGAGGGCTGCGAACGTCGCGCGGCGGTCGGTCGCGAGCAGCACCTCGCAGGACCTCTCCGGATCTCGCCGGCGGATCCGCAGGATCTCTTTTGCGAAGAGCGCGACCTTCTCGTGGCCGTGCAGGCACGACGTGCGGTGGCGGACCTGTGCGGCGATGGTGACGGCCTGCCCGCGGCCATTCGCGGCGTCGGCGGCGCGGCGCTGCTCGAGCGCGGCGAGCGCGCTCGCGAGAGGGGGCCGGTCCTCCCTGAAGCGGAAGAAGTCGCTAAAGATGCGACCGTACAGCGCGTGCGGTCCGCCCGCACGCGCGAAGAGCGCGGCCGATGCGGCGTCCGCTCGCCTGCTCATCGCGGCCTCTTGCGACTGGAACTTGCCCGCGGCGTCCCACTGCTTGAGATGGTAGACCTCGGCGCCGGGCCGGCCGAGTAGCGAAAAGTTGCCGTAAAAGAGGTCACGCTCGACGCTGCAAAAAGGGTGCGGAGCGCCTGGGCGCGCGCACGATCGCGAATAGCCCGGTCCGCTCAGGCGACACGTCAGAGGGCAGAGCGGGCGAGTCTCGGCGAGCCGCGGCAGCGACTCGAATAGCCCGGTGCTCTCGAACAAGCCGCCACACGTGTACGCGCTCTGCTGCCCCCGCGCGAGGCGCAGGCCGAGAGTGAGAGAGAGCATCGCAGCGTTCATAAATTCATGCACGTGGTTACCAATGCCCTTGCTGCCGCCCCTGCCGCTGCCCGTGATCACGATCGCCGACGCGCTCAAATTCGTGCCGTACTGTAGCGGTGCCGAAGCGAAGTGCGGATCGATCGCTTCGAGCGGCAGGCTCCGCACGACGAGGTCGGCGTACCGCGCCATCGATAGCGAGACAACCTGCGCGACAACATCGTCGCTACTGCGGCAGCTCGCACTCCGGTCGCGCTCGCCGGATGCACGAGGCCGTCCGCACGAGCAGTTGTATGCTGCACGGCCGGGCGGGTACCCACAAGGCACTGAATTGTTCCCGCATCGAAACACGCCACGACAGTTCGTGACCCACATTGTACCGAGCGCAAGGTCACACCCGAATGAGCGCCCGAGCTTGCATGGTGCGACGCTGTCTTGCGTCTTGAGCTTGCACTGTTCGCTGCCAGGTGATCTATGAGGCGCCTGTCGGCGCTGATGCATCGCGCGTCGGTACCCACGGGCCTCATCCCGCTGACAGCGGAGCCTCATACCAGCGCGGCTCGGCTGGCATGCCGACCTCAAGGAAGAATTCGAGGTTGGCTCGCGCGTCGGTCCCGACTGGGAGGGAGAAGATACATTGGCCGCGCAGTGGTCGACGCAGTCTCCACATACGAGGCAAGCACCCTCGTACCTCAGAGCACAGCGACGGCCGTCGCATCTTAGGTGCTTCGCGAAACGACTGCTCTCGTCGTGCTCAATTTTGAAAGTGGGCTGCCTGCCGTCCCGGACGTCCCACAGCTCCGTCTGGACGTGAAGTCCTATCGACGACTCGCCACCATCGGGTTGGAATATGAGCTGCAGGCTGTCGAAACCAAGGTGAACGAGCCTTTCCGAAAGGTACGGGTCCAGCGGTGAGGACCCAAGCGCAAAACGGAACATCTCTCTGTCCGCCTCGGACTGCCCCGGACGGCAGAGCCTGGTGCCTTGCGCAAGCACGCCCTCGAGGCCTCTTCTTTCGGATGCCTGATACAGAGCGGCGACAGAGCGAACTGCGCACGCCAGGTCGCACGTGCCATTCAGGCTGAGCTTCACGGCGGCGTCGAGCCGATTGAAGGCGACGAGCGTCTTCCCGGAAAACCACTCCAGTCGGCTGCAGCCGCGTGCATAGTACATCCACACGCCTGTCGTTGTTCTTGCCCACTTGTCACTCGTGTGTGTCACGGGCAGCCACACATCGCTGGTCTGCAGCTCGGGATGTATGGAGCACCTCGGTGATTGGTCGAAGACAACGCCTTCTGGCCCGGCCCACGCCCTGCGCCAATAGGTGAGCGGGCTGCCTCCGCCGCTTTGGCGCAGAGCCGTCTCTGCGGCGTTGCCGTATGTGGTGCAGACGTCGCCGGGATGGCCCGCGCGACCCGAGCGCCGATGAGACGAAGCGCAGCCGCACAGGTACGACGCTGCACCCGGAGGATGGCCGCAGAAGAACGGTGGCGAATCGGCGCCGCACTGAAATTCTCCACGGCAATTCCTCGTCCAAATGCTCCTGCCATCCGCGCTGCAGCCGAAATTTATGCCTGGCCGGCACTGCTTCTTACTGTGCTGGGCGACCATAATGGCTTCGCATGTGGCGGCGGGTGCGGCATGCATGAGGATGCCGACGATCATTTGCGAATCGTGCACTGTGAGCGATCGAGCGGAGCAGGGCAGCGGCTCTCGACGATCGGCTGCATGAGGCGCCGTCACAGCTGTCGCTGTGAATGGCTTATCGGTGGTACCTGCGAGCGGTCTGCAGGTGGCCGGGAGGTGAGAACCAGTCGCGATCGACAAGCCTACTCGTACAATACGGGCTCCGCTCCACACCGACCAAACCCTCGGAGCTAACACTGTAGGCTAACCTCGAAATCTGCACCTTAGATGGCTGCGCTCCCTGTTTCACATCCTTGTTATTGAGAAGAAAATACGTCCTATGGCGCTGTGCGCTGGTCTGTGAGAGGGTTTCACAGCCATGCGTGTTAAGGATGGCTGTGAAACATTCAGGGAGCGCAGCCATCCAAGGTGCAGATTTCGAGGTTAGCCTGCACTGTACCCGGGTATATGCTCGGAGAATAACCTACTCCAGTACTGTAGGGTGGAGATGCGGGGCGCAGGTTTTCCCGTCCGATTTCTTTTTCACGTGTAAAATTCTTTTTAGGCGATTTCCTTTGTTACTCTCCTGAGGGAGGTTTCGGATGGCGGTGCCCGGCGCCGAGACGTTCCTTGGGATGCCAACGCCGCCTCCTGTGAGGCGAGGTCGGCCGGCAGGCGGATTTTGTATCTCGTTCTCGAGACACAGCGCGGCGATTTCGCTTGGAATGCGCCACCGCCGCTCCCCGGCGTGGCGGGCATGCTTGGGCTGGGCGCAAAGCCGAGGGCCGCGCGGTTGTGTTTCGGTCAGAAACGAAAGAGCATGTTACGCAACACGCAACACTGGGCACGGGACAGACAAGAGAGGTTTGGCCGCCACGAGCGCGCACAGCGGAGCGCATGAGATGCCTCTGCGTGTCACCTCGCGCCCTGTTGAAGGAGGAGGCGAGCGCCCGGTCCCAGCAGCCCAGACAGTAGGGCACCGTGCAGCGGCAGGGCAGCGGCAGCCGCTCGCTCTCCAAAAGCGGGCCGAAGCAGATGGCGCACTCCATTGGCCGCCTCCTGTCTGGTCTCGAGGGATCTCGAGTTGCGGAGCTCCCAGCTGCTCGGTGTACGAACTCTGCTCACACCGAGCAGCGGAGGAGCGGCTGGAGCTAAAGCCGCCTCCCAATGCGCTGGATTCGCCTAGGCGGGGCGGTGCACGAAGGCCAGCTCAAAAAAGGAGAATTTTCTCCGTGCACTGGCGGATAGGGTCTCCATGTGCTGTGTGGTGCACGCCCCTCTCTGCCCGTCGGGTTGTCGCCCTATCTCTCCAGGAGATGTCTGCTCTATTTATTAGGGTCTCCATCCTGGCTAAACGCCGGCCGGCCGTATAGCCCCCGATACCTCACGGCCCCGGCGCTCACGCCTCGATCTTTTTGGGCAGCAGCTGGTTCGACAGGTCCTCCCCGTGGCCAAGGCAGCCGACCTCGCCCTCGCCCCAAGTAAGGAAGGCGCCGCCGGCGGTGACAGCGAGGCTGTGCGCGGCTCCAGCCGACAGAGCGACGACGCGCTGGCCAGCCAAGGCCTCGATCTTCTTCGGCAGCAGCTGATTCTGCTCGTCGCCGTGGCGCAGCATGCCAGACGCATGGCCGGTGAGGCCGATTTTCTTATGGTTTTAAAAGAGGGACCCCCCGTGCCTGCAATCTCTTAAATGGCAATTTCAGCGCCCAAATCTCCTCAGTTCTTAAAAGGTCTAAAAAATCCGGCCCCCAGAACCCCAGGGGTACCCTAAGGGTGGGCTCCGGTGCACCCGGGGGGGCAACGTGTCGACCTCTCTCTCTGGTGCACCACGGGCCGCAACGGCCTGTGCTAGCAGCGGAGGCAGTGACTGTGCTGGCGCCGTCGAGTATCCGCTTCTTGGTGCTTCTGGGGT